AGGTTGAGAACCTATGGAGAAGTCCGGTATGTATTTCCAATTACCTTTTAGAGTTAAGAGAAAAGTTTAATAATGAAGGTTGAGAACCTATGGAGAAGTCCGGTATGTATTTCCAATTACCTTTTAGAGTTAAGAGAAAAGTTTAATAATAACATAAATGTACAGTGACATGTCTATATTTGTAGGGTACGGAAATCATTTCAAAATAATTTTATTTCAATTAATAAGGAATATTGTGTGAGAAATATAGGTAGTATAATTAATTGTGTGTATGTAATAGTATATGAAATTTGGTATTTTGGAATAAACTTTAGTATATAGTCATCAGGTAATACATGGGGTTAACGCCCAGCTCAAAAACCCAAGAGTTCAAACAAAGCCGTCCCTGATTTAGAACTCTGTACTAAATGCAGGGCAACCAGTCAGAGCCCTCGTTGCCAACGCGACATTAACTATCACAGTTATAACACCTCCAAAACTGAAAGTTCGGAGCGTGTTCAGTAGCATATCGCGGTTCAAACCTTGGACTCTCAGATATGAGGCCAGTCACGGTAACCATTTGACAACGCATGCCCTAGGAAGAAATTGGCATATATCTAAGGTAATAAAATAATAGGTACGCTAATAATGAACACTTTTCATCCCTATAAATGTTATAGCATTAAGTGAAAGTTGTAACAGATGCTAAACGCATTAATTAATAAATAGAAACCAAACATTATAATGTTCAGTATTCTCTTCTGAACTGTACGTATATGCCTGAATAGTAAAAATTTACTTTTTCCAGTCACGAAAACCATATTAAAAAGATTACATTTTACTGGTAACCAAAATAAAGAACAATTTTATAGAAGAGAAAAATGAATTGAAAGAAGACCTAACGAATATCTTCTGTAAGACAGGCTTAGCAAAAGCCATAATTAAACATTTTAAGTATTCAAGAGATTTATCATATAGCAAGCAAACAAAATAGTAATAAATGTTTCCTACTATTACATTAGAACACCATATCATTAATTAAAAGGCATGCAGCTACAAGATATACAACACAAATAAATTGTGTGCAATTTTGCTCATTTAACTTCGTTTGAAGTACATTGATCAAACAGACTTTCCTTTATGGGCAATTCTTAACCATTATTCTCTTTTACGAGGACTTTAAAGTTGTCCTCTACTTATGCGTTCATTACATTCGTTTAGCCGCTTTAGCGCATAAAGGGAAAGTTATTGATCAAGACTTCCAACGAAGTTAAATGAACAATATCAGCTCATTTATTATTAATTTTGTAAGCAATTTGATTCTTAATCCTCAAGTAACTACACATTACCAACATATAAGCAATGAGTTAGTTCAACTTGTAATTCATTTTATGCACTTTGATACAGCTTTAAACAATCTGTTTTAAGTCGGAATGTTCTTTAAACTGTGTTCCAGCATCATAAATTAAACAATACATGTAAAAATAAAATTATCTGGGACTCGTGGCGTGTATTAGTAATAATAGTAAAAAAAAGCATTTAACGTGATTTTTATCACAAGTTTTAGGTCTACTGGATTCTAATGCTTGGCTAACTTTCGGCGTGGGCGCTAGATTCTCGGGCTCGAATCTCGCCACCGAACGTGCTCGCCCATCAGCCTTATGGACGTTAGAATGTAACTAGTTAATCCAACTATTCGCTGATAAAAAATTATTACAAGAGATGGCTATGGGTGATGTTAAATAGCTGCCTTCCCTCTAGTCTGTCACATCTAAACAAGGGATGACTAGCGCAGGTGGCCCTAGAGTAGCTTTGAGCAAAATTCAAGAAACAAACAAACGTAACTTTTACAGTATTATACGGCTTATATAAATAATATTTCTGGTATTATAGGAAAAGCCTCTTGGGCAGTGAGTTGTGGAAGACAAAGGGCAGATCTGACATGCTATTTTTACACGCTACTGATTTTGAATCCAGAATGGAAAAATTAAGAAGAATGTTCGAAAATGTTTTAGATCACAAATTATAGACCAATTAGTTTATAATTCTACGACAGCTTTCGACGTTTAAACCGTAACTTTTAAACTAATAACATTTGCAAGCAACAAAGATATGTATCTGTTTGTTTGTTTTTGAATTTCGCGCAAAGCTACAC